TTTTTTTTTTTTTTTTTTTTTTTTTTTTTTTTTTTTTTTTTTTTGTCCCCTGTGGCAGTGGAGAAAGGATCCCAGGCTTGTGCATGCAGAAGCACATCCTTTATCACTGGCCACACCCCCAGGTATACTCTCAGACTCCTGGCACATGGCTGAACACAAACCTGACAAAGGGAGAAACTTCCACTTAAGATCATACTGTCTCCATTTTATCCCAGGGAATAAGCTTTGAGCTCCCTGAAGGGTAAAAAGGCCAGGATAAAGGAACATGGTTGATTTACACAGCAAAATAGCTGGCTACATCAGGACAATGTGAGCTCCAAAGCTACGGTGGGTGAGGGAGTCATGCTGTTTGATGGAGTGCTGGCCTGGGTGGAGGCCTCAGTTGCCTCTGTGCTGGAGAGGTGACTTCCTGGTGGCTGGCTCTGCTATTAGTCTCAAGAATAATACAGGAGAATGCCAAGTCTGAGTCGGGAGATTTTCACGAAAGTCCAAATTCTCCATTTCTTGCTGGATCCTAAGAGATGCTATTGCCTTAGATTAGGAAGGAGGGAAGAGGGGGCCCACGTCTGGTTAGATGTACACAGTACACAACTCAGATTATCCCTCTGTCATAGAAAATGGGCACAGCTGCCTCACGTTTTTAAAAGCAAGTGCTTTTGGTCCTTCTAATTTCCACTTGGCTAGCAGCTCACAGGGTTAGTTGGTTGGGTAAGGGCCGGCCAGGACCCTCTAGCCCATGTGCAGGCTCAAGGAGCATTTAGAATTTTGAGGGGTGAGGGCTATAAAACGTCCTCTATGCATGTGGTTCATCTGAAAACATACTAAAGTCAGGACTCCTGTGGGCCAGGCAAGGCATGCCTCTATTTCCCGGGTAGCCAGGATGCTGAGGTGAGAGTGAGTGGCTGAACAAGGAGCCCCAGTTCAGGGCTGCCCAGGAACAAGCCTCTCTGTTGCTTAGGAACAAATCCAGAATCCTGGATAACATTCTGTCCTGTGAAACACTGTAAGCCAACTCTGCTCAGCTGAATTGTTTCTTCTCCTTTTCTGACACTTCTGGTAAACAAAAGAGAAACACCCTCTAAGTTGTAAGCTGGAGAGAAAGCCTTCAGAGTTAGAGCACAGCCTTTGGGAACTGAACACACCCACAGAGGTTTCCAAGTGTGAAAGTGGGTCACTCTCCTGGGTGCAATGACAGAAGAGTGGGGGTGGGTGGGCGGGAGCAAGGCTTCAAAGAGCATGCCTGGCTAATTCCACTCAAAGTCTGCCTAACAGCTCAGTCTTGATTTGTTTATGTATAGAAGCAAATACGAGTAGGTCTGGTGAGCTGGAAATGCCCTGCTCTTTCAAGGGAGTCCATGGCAAAAGCAGCTGCTGGGCCTCTGATTTGAAGAGTGTGGAAATTATTATTATATATATTTTTTTTCA